AGTTTAACAATTAAATTTAATGTATTTAAAGTAAGCTATCGGAAGAAGCTCAAGAAAATCGTAATATAGAATGCAAAACTTACAGAGAGCACAATACGAGATAAAGTTTTAGGCTTAACACAAATAAAAATTTGATACATAATTTAATCTTTTTATCCTTGCCATACAAAATATTTTCAAAAAATATGAACAAGAGTTATCAGAAGAAGTTGAGATGTTAGTAAAATTACCAAAATCAAAAATCAAAGATGATGATTATGACAATATTGACAATCTTTTTCAGTAGTTGATTTTTCGATTTAAATAATAAATATGTATGAAGTAACATCAAACATTTATTATAGTCCATACAAATTAGTCGATAAATAATCCAATAAAAAAAATTGTTATTGTATTTATAATATTTATATGTAGGTATTTGTCCACCAATAATTTGCTTCGAGTAATCAATTTAAAAAAAAAAAATTATTTTTTTTTTTAGGAGATATTTGGGGCACACTTTTTTTTTTAATTCATTATTGGTAACTTGATCTATAACTTGCATACAATAGTGCATAAGACATTTTTAGTAATGCTCTTTAAAAATTAAAAAACAAAAAGAAACTTGTACTATTCGAATTAAATGTTCCCATACTATCAATGGAAAAAATATATTTTTTTTCGAAAATATATTTAGAACAATAAGATGAGAATGAACTTGGAAAATATTGACTTTTAATCAGTTATTTTCATTAAATAAGTTTATTTTCATTTATAGCGTAAAAATTGAAAATTGTTATAAAAGTTTCTAATCAAATAGCTCTATAGAATTTAATAATCAATCTATCAATCCTATATTTTTAATTTACCATCAAAACATTTTCATAAAAAATAAACACAATGAAAAAATATAATTAATTCATTTTTAGAAACAGGACTTTTGCCGACTAAAAATGTTTTTCAGACGACTGTGCGCCGTGCCCGCTACAACGACCACTACGGTATTGTCGTAGCAATATACAAAGGTGGATGCGGTTATACGGCGCTACGTAGGTGTGCTATTTAGTATAATGTACATGTAGATACACCGGATGGTTTAAAAGCGTCCGAATGTTCGTAATATATTAATTCAAAAAGAAATTACCACTGTCGTCATGGCGACGAGCATGGGAAAAGATAGAAGCGCAAACAGCAATGTTTTACTGTAGCGAGTGATGGTCAGAAATCACTTTAAAAAAAAATAATGTAAAAATGTAAAATAATTTATGAAAATAAGATGTGTACAGAGTTTTTTCTTCCCCTCCACATTCAACCGAAAACAAAAGTTTAACTGACTTTAACGTCAGTTTTTCGGACGTCGAGCCTTCGAAATAATATTATTAGCAGTAGCAGTTATTCTCGATCCGCTCTTCCACGAAATATAAAAAAATAAAAAATACCATTTATTCCCTCGCGGCGTGCACCCTACACATTATTCATAATCGCAGTAGAATGGCGTGTCCAATACGCCCGCGGACCGAAATCGCGGAATTATATATCGCATCGACCCGTACAACTCGTCATTTCGTTGAGTACCATAAAATAATAGTATGATGCGTGGACGCAACTCAATGCGCACACTATACGCGCGTCTCCAAATTTACATAATCTCGGCTTTATGTACAAATCGTTCGTTTTCAACCGTGATTATCAAAGCGCGCCGGAATTCATATACATACACGCTGCAGCCCGTCCGAAACAATATATTATTAGCGTTCGAATTATAGAGGTTTTTATTTTCACACCAAATAGCCCTTTTTCCTGGAGTGCCCGGACGAGAAATCAAAAACCCGAAAAATATGAGAAATCACAAAATCACATGCACACAATATGAAATCGAAATGCTGCCATGTGGCTTTGAAACCATTAATCCTACACCGAAATACATTACAGTACGCAAATAATAAGCATAAAATAAACACATTTTATAATAAAAACGGAACAAAAACCAAATACCATATAGCATTTAAGTATGAGTAAAAAAATATAAGATATTTGAGAAATAATGATAATTAATAACTCAAATGTAAATAATTAAACAGTACATCTTTGGATGACTATATACTATACTATTGTACTATTATACAACAAATTTGATACCAGACCTTGAAATCTAAAGTTTATAACTAGTGCATGAATGCTTATGAAACTGTAATATTTTCAATTTTCAGACCTTGATATAAGCGTAATGTACATCCGAATGCGATGTGATTGATTATTTTTCAGCTGCATAATCCCAATCGTGGAATTCGATTTTAAGTTAAAAATTTTAAAAATAAAATTAACTTTTTAACTTGTTAATACCCACCTTTGTGTATATGTATATATATATATCTTCCGAGACCGTGATTTTTAGCCAGTTTTGTTTCTACTCAGTTACCATATTAAAATCGTCGAAGTAAGTTTCGGTTCCTGAAATTACACCATAATAATATTTTATGACGAATTTAGTGCTAATAAAAAAGTTGTTAAGCAAACTTACAATATTATCTGCACTCCGAATCGAAAGTTAGATTGTAATTACATATCGACGATGAAAATAACTCTGGTCACGAATTATACTTCAACTACTACACGCAAGGTTCGTAAACCTTTGGTGCAGGCGATAATTATATTATTAACATTATTTTTCATACGAATATCGGTTTATCATGGTTGATATGTTTAGGCCAACCACTCACTCAGTTTTATTTTTCGTACGTAAACTATTGATAGTTACCCAACTTTTTGTTGTTGCCCGAATGGAAAACGAATTGCCATAAGATTGATCACCAAATTCTATATTTTAAACTTCGCAGTTGTTATTCTTTTTTCGCAAAATGGTGTTATTTCAAAATATATTATTGCAGTACAAAATTATAGTGTCACAACGACGTTATATACCAGTTATTCACATGAGACTTTCAGTTGTATGAATGTTTTTTGTTAGTTTTCAACTCTCAATCTTTTCCTTTTTCCGGTTAAAAAGCTAACCTAAGCATCAAAAAAAAAAGTCAAACGCGAAAATACATCGGCTCTATGTCGGAGTAGGCTACTGGCCAATTATCATAATATACTATACAGATAACCGTTATTGCTTTTCTAGCTCATTGAATCGATTGATCTGTGTGTAATATTAATCGCTCGAGAATTACTCAAATTCACGATCCATTTTTATATATTATCGGGAAATCTGTCAAAACGGAAAATGTGTCGTATAACACAGTCCACCCTAGCACAAAAGTATAATTATATGTACAGATATATATGATCGTAAACTATTGAATTAATAATAACAGTAATGAAAAACATAAAATAATACGCGTAAACGGGATATTCCGACCCGTTGGAGAGTAAGCGGAAAGCGTGTTACCAATTGTCACAAGATTATATTACATTATTCATTTTAATATCAAGACAATGATCCAAAAATCATTCTTAGTTGAACTCAATTTACCGATATTAATAATTATTACAATATTTACAACTGACCTCGAAATGAAGTTTTAGAGCATCGGAATATTCATGAAAAGTCGTCGTAAAATTTAGCATTTTCGTTAATTGTTATAAGAACTATACAACCGTTTAAAATTGTTTGAAAATGTAGTTTTACAGTTATAGCCACTAAAAAAGAATTGCAAATCACATCAATTTTTCCATCAAGCATAACATATTTATCAATTAAATTTAAATTCAAGGTACCTTCTAAAATCCAGAATTTTTTTCTACTCCGTTTTTCTAGTAATTTTTTGCCTGAACAAAAATATTTTTAAATGATTCTGAAATGAAAATTTTTTCTGATAATTTCAATTTTTCATCTAAACATGAAAAGTCTTATTACAAACAATTTAAAATAAAAGTACAAATTAAATATTTTAGTGGTTGTTGTCTATTAAATATTTTTATTTTTATTACATTACAAATTATGTAGGTAATATTAAAATAATTTATAGTAAATATATAATTTTAATCTTTATTTAAATTATATTAACAAAAATTATTTTAAATAAAAATAAAACACCAACTTGGTATGAATGAAAGAGGTAAATATAATATTTTAATTATTTTATGTTGTTTCAAATAAGATGTATGTCTTTATGTATCTATGTATCTTACAGTTTCAATATATACTTCTTATTCTTAAAAATTAAAAACCAATATTGTCAACTGAATGGACACAACAATACAACCAATATTTTGATGTATAAAAATATTAGAAAGTAAATTAAAATTAATTGGGGATCGGTCAATAGAAATTTAGCTTTTGGAATAAAACAACCTCCTCAAGAAAAAATTTCTGCTGTGTATATACTTTACAAAGTACCTACTGACTATTGTAGTAACTAAAAAAATATATCGGTACCTGTCATATTTTAATATGTTTTCTATTGAATTTATGTTGCAGAATCATAATTTTGTACATTAAAAATTAAAATAATACAGCTATTAAATGTTTGACATATGATAAAATATTAATGTAAATATACATTTTCTATATATATTTATTTTTTTTTTTTTTTTTGTTAAACTTATTTATATAAAAATATTATTTTACAAAATTAATAATTTGATTTTACTAATTATAAAAATCTTACCCTTCAGATCATATTATTAATTGTTTACAAAACATTATAAAATAATAAATTCATTAAAAAAAAAGTAGCAATAATGATTTACATGTATCTTGTTCTATTACTATTATAACTAGTTTTATTAAATACATTATAATTTTTTCAAAATAATTAGGTTTACAATAATCTAAAATATAAAATTGAAATAAATATATACTTGAGAAATTTTTTAAATTTTACTATTTTTAACAAGAACTTAAAGTCAAATTTTGGTAAAACATACTAACTAGATTTGTGCAATAATAAATTATACAAAGAAACAAAATATTCTTTGTAAAAAAGTTATTAATCTAATAAATATAATAGTTTAAAATTCATTCAAGTATTCAAGTATAAAATAAAATACTATAAAATATAAAAATTAAAAATAATTGTTAACAATTTAATACATTTGAACACGAAATGGACGGATAAAATTACATTGTGTCAAAGCGCATTGTTATAAGTCTTACAAAATAAAATAAAACATACACTAAAATACATTTCAATAATACTTGATTAATATATAAATACAATTAATTGCATTACACAGGAGCAGTAGAAACTGTGCTATGAGGTGTAGTGGGACGAGATCCAGCTAAAGAATGTGTGGTAGATGCATTCAAGGAGGCCATAGTTCCAATCTAAAACAAAAAATGATTACAAATCTGGAAGTTTTGAATAATTGAGACAAGTGGCATACTCTCAGGTGAGCTAAATCTTCAAGTTTGGTCAAATCAAACAGTTCCAAATACAAAGAATACACAAGTATCCAACCATATACATTAATAACAGAAAACACTGCGCCCAACAAAATCATGGTGAAATTATAACCAAATATAGGATCGTTAGCAATTGATGAAAAAAGCCAAGCTATAAATCGGAATACTAGGAATGCAGCAAACGAAAACAGCCATGGTACAATTCTTTTCTCATGCTCCTGAAAAATAATCATAATGTTAAAGTACATGATGAAAAAAAAAATAAGACAAACTTTTGTTTTACCTTGCGTAGAGCAGATATTAAGATCAAGCTAGTAACAAAAATTACAGCTGCGGCAACAAATGAAAACAATGAGAACAAAACCAATATATTTCTCACTAAAACACAAAAGCAATAAAAAAAATTGTATAATTATTATACAAATTATAACCAATTAACAAATATAATTAATCAAATATAATAGTTATTAACATCGCTATATTAGTTAACTCAAAACGTATAAATTAAAGCATATTTATTTACCCCAAGCGCTTCCGACATAGACAAATTGATAGCTCATAACATAATACCCGTAATGTGTGGATCCAGGTGCAGCCATGGCCAGGCAATACGTGTCGAATGCAGATGTGACCAATGTGAAGATACTAAGGAACTAATGGCCATGAAAACATATGAAACAAAATAAGTTGAAAAACAATAGCATTATCGCAATAATTTTGCTTACCAAAGAATAGAAAGCGATAATAAGCGCTCCTCTCTGAGTGTCAATGAAGTAAGCGTCTTTTAATATAGGTCGTTGGTACCACGGCACACGTAGAGACTTCATGGACCGCGTAGACCGCAGGTTGGACGACCGTAGGGTCAGATGGCTGGCGTGTATCGAGTACACGGATGGTGTACCCATGCTCGGCGTCTTACTGCGAGCGTACATTGCGATGGAACCGTTGATGCAATGTCGAAAACTTAATGAAAACCGAATTCAACCAAGGAGGGAAAACGTAAAATTAAAAAAAAAAAAATAAAAAAAACAAACAAACCAATATCAGTATAAATAGTGGACAAAATTTCTCGACATAATAACGTCGGGTGGGCGCGAGACAAACGGACACAATAAAAATTCGGATCACTAGCTCGAAAAAAACATCAACAAAACTCGAGCATTACACCCGAACTCGGAATGCATAACTCGATTGTTTTAACGTTTGGAATAATTGGATAAACACAATTTAATAAACACGCCCAGGTTGATAGCAGTGTATGTGATAAACGCTTGAAAGCATGGAAAAAACGGTTGCACATGGAAGGAAAAAAAGGCGCAACAAGTTCGTCCGAAGACATGCATGTGATAGAGCATAGACCTCATACTTAATTTAATTTCCTACCTATTTTTATCATTTATAAATCGTACAATAAAGGAATAATAAACAACAATTATTTGTTACTTTTATTTATATTTTATGTAAGGTAGGAATCTTTTTTAATCTATTGTAAACAATTTATTAGTCCAAATTTAATTTTAGATATCAAATCTCATTTAATTAATAAAAAACGTAAACATGGGGTTTCAGATGTTCTAAAGAAATAAAACAAATTACATTAACTGTATATTTTTTGAGTCCAAAACCTTATAACTTTATAAAAACAACATTTTCTTTACCAAATATAAGTACATTAAAACGAACCAGTACAACATTTGAGATTTTTCTTGGTCCTAATGATACTAATACCAAATTATTCAGTTTGGCTTATGTTCTAGCTGTATAAATGACTGATCAATAATTTATTTAGTAATAACATTCTAAACACCGTGTATTTGTTTATAAAAATAAATTAAAATTTAATCTACGACTTAATGTTAATATATAATGTATTATAAATACTTATTGTATCATTAATTAATACAACAATATACATATATATATATATATATTTACATATAAACTATGAAGCATTTATAATGTTTAAAATCTTGAATTTATTCATAATTTCTCCTTTTTAATACAGCCTATTTAAAAATAAATAGGTACTTAATTCTTAATTTTAAACAAGAACATAAAACTATTCCGAAACAAAATATTAATATACATTTACCTAATTATGCAAAAGTTTATGGACAAAAATATGCATTTCATATATAAATATGATAAATTACTTATTTAATATCTTTTAATATAAATATATTAAGCAATTTTAAGTATTTAATTATTTTATAATGTCTCTTATGTTTCATAATTTTGTAATTTTATAATTTTTAATTTATTCTGTTTACTATATTTAATTTATATTCATTTATTCTTGTATAAAAAAAAATATGTAATAAATATAGTCATTAGATTAATAAATTAATTGTTCCTTAATATATTTTCTAAGTAAATAATATGGTTCATTGTTATGGTAAAATATTCGGTACAATTAAGTATTTCTTGAATGTGGTTACATTGATTACGATCCATAAGGGTCCGCGATTTACTTACATTTTGAGAAATCACCCGAAATGCACCATCTTTTTTCATATCGACGCCTCCGTTCAAAACTGCAATAACTCAAATTATGAAACTACTGGTTCTAGAATGAAATAAACGACCTCTAGAGGTGAATTATGCAACTAAAAGTTATTGGGTTATAGAATCGAAATCATCATAATTTTGCAAATAATATCACGTAGATACTCAATTCTGATAATTTTTGAGTTATTGTTGTCTTGAACTGAAACGTCGATATTTTAACAATAGTTTTTTTGAGTTATTGCAGTCTTGGACTGAGGCGACGATATAATCTGTGGTTGTATACAACAATAATAATGTAATTTTGTATTAGCCAATAAATATTTAAATTACAAAATGATATACTTATTTTGTTTTCATATCAAAATAAAAATAGAGCCATTGAATATAATTGTTTAATTTTAGGGATTTCAAAATCTAGCAACTTTAAACAAATTAAATTATTATTTAACTAATTAAATAAATGGGATATGCACGCAAATTTTAAGTATATGCAAAATATTTTCGCCCCCCTCCCCTTGTGGCTTTTCCAAAACCGCCACTGCAAACAAGTAACGACAGTCGATGATAATCCGTATTCCGTATCTATATTTTATTCATACTGCCGATTGACGCGATGGCGTTGTCCAAACGTGACGTCACGCGCCAATAGATGTTGGCGTCAGAACACTATCGTTATGCCGCGTCTATAAGCTTATATGGTCCACGGTTTAAAACATACTTAAATAAGATATATCTTAAATCGTGATATGGTCGAAATTAGGTATCAATATTCGTTACTATTGTAACTGTTTGTTGATTCGGTTGATAACGGCGACTTATGATAACACGACTCGACTGCAGTTACAGCGGGCAACGATTGTTCTGTTCGTCGATTAATATGTCACGAAGTTCTACTAGATTTAGATGTAACAGCTTCTGTAAATGTCACCTGTAGTGGTGCGTTCCAACGGCCATATTCAAAGAGCAAATCATGTGAGCGAATCTCGGTTGACGCGACGAACTTCTGTTGCGAAAATGATTTCGAAAAACGGCATCGTTAGCGTTTATGGTTTCCTACTAGGCCTGTCTTTGTTGTTTGCGTTACTTTTGATACGTAGTAATTTGTGGCCGGCATCCGAATACTTGAACAGCCGTGAAGTTAACCCATTGCATCTGTTTGTCGTGTACGCAGCCATCACCAATGTGCTGGTTCGTATTATCAACCGAGGTATCGTGTACAAGGTAAATATCCGCCAACGCTGATCATCGGTTCAAATTGTCATCCCTTACATGTCATTTTATTGTTTCAGATATGCGCACAGGCCTTGTTTCTGGGTTTAGTCATGGCTGCAGGTTTGCTGATCTCTTTCCAAGCACCAGAATCGTGGAAGCCTTTTGGATGGTAATGCAAGCTAGTTCAATAACTTGAGGCTTTTGTAAATGATTATTTTAACGTGTTTTACATAACATGTTAGATTTTTGATATTTAAGACTTACACAAGAGTAATAACAAACAACACAGTGTTGACTCTGAGTGAGTAACAACTATTGTTTATGTTACAAAAGATAGTTTTTAAAAAAATAATGTGCATGTAGAACATTTTATTTTGATTATTCATTGGTAGTCTATTTCTATTTGCAAATATAATACAAATTATCTTCTGAAATTTTGGTACATCAATTATTGTTTGTTAAAAAATTGGTTGTTAAATCATTGGTTTTAACACCATTTAGTCTTAGACAAGTGGTACGAAAATAATGACAAAAAGTTGGAATGTTTGATCTACACACATATACTATTCTCCATTAGCCTAACTTCTTTAGTTATTATCGTTTGATAGCTATTTATTGTAGGTAAAAATTATTTATAAATTTATTCAGATAAGATTTCTGTCAATTATGTATCAATTTATAGAGAATAAGATTTTTGTCCTGCAGTTTTAAGTAAAATTTTAATTTAAGTAAATTTAAATTTAAATTAGGTCTAAATGCGTGCACACATTTTGAAAATGTATAGAAATATAAGTATTTAAAATTAAATATTAATGTATTAGTAATTCAAGTTTAAATTTTAAGGTTGTGTTTATTATTATTATTTTTATTATTTTGTTCACAGGTACATCTGTGTAATGGCCATATTTCATTATACCGAGTTCCTTAGCATTGCAGTTTGTAATCCAAAAACACTGACACCTTCATCGTTCATGTTAAATCATAGTGTTGCATATGGCGTAGCAGCATCAGCCAGCTGGCTGGAGTATCTATTGTGGCATTATTTTTTACCTGGTAATTATATGTTCTAAAAAATAATTCTAAAATCACAAAATAATAAAATTTAAAAGCCATAGATATAACAGAAAATTGACATTCATAGTAATAGTAATTAGTACTAAAAGTAGTAATAAGTAGTAAACTATTACATGTAAAAAATGTTTTTTTGATATTTCACTGTATTAGTTAACATTATTTTGATAATTCAATAGAAATTAAATAATATATTATTAACATTAATATATTATTATAATAGATTGATGAATATTCTTAAGATCTATGGTACAAATTTATTGATATAAAACAATAATAATTTACTTTTAAAATAAAACTATTATAGAAGTGATAACATTTTATTTTAAAACATAATGACTACACAATCCTTAGAAACTATTATTTTAGAATTCTTTGTCCATATAATAAAATCATGTATTTGTAAATATGGTGGTTATGTATTAATTCTATAAATATTTTTAATTTAAATAGTTCAAATTTTAAAAGATATTCTTTGATTTAATGCTAAGTTTTAGTTTTTTAAACCAACCATTAGAAAATTCAGAATTATGAATAATATTATAATATTTTTATTTATATTTTATTTTATTTTAAATAATTTTAAAGGGGCCAGGCCCAAGTACAAAGAGTACAAAAACAATTATTCATATTTAAATATACATGTTAAATATAAATAAATAAAACATATTAAAGATAGTTTATTGTTAACAATAAGTTTTAAATAAGTGAAAGTTTTGTGAGAGAAAAAAATTAATACTTAATTCATTGGTAAAATGCATTATTCAATTACTGGGATAGTTTTTTGATGTAATTTGTTATTTCTATGTTCAAATAAAATGTATTTCTAGTTTGAGTTATACGTGAAAGTTATACATGGAAGGAGAAAAGACACAAGAAATCAGGTCAATCTATTTTTCCCGAAAAAAATGTATACGCTAAGTATAAGTCTAATCGTAATCAATGACGTTCCAATATTTCAAGGTTAAGAATAGCCAATAGAGGGAGTATGAAGAGTGAGGATCCCTAGGAATAAAGCATTTGTATGATAAGAAGCGTAAAAATGTTTGCTGTATTTTCTCCAATTTCAATTTATAGCTTATTTGGTATGATGACCATATATTCAAACCATATTCACAGATAGAACATATCAGTGAACAATAAATGGATTTAAGTGCAATTTTAACAGAAAAGTCCGAAAAATTATGCATAATCAATATTGTTAAGAGGACGTTACACCCACATGTGTTGTCTCCGTCTGATATAGCAAATTTGTGTTGAGTGATTCAAATGTAATGAAGTTAGCTTTAATATTAGATTACCTATAATTGACCTATAATCAAACTTTAAAGGAAGAACTTTATTTGTGTTTTGTTGGTTTCCGATATTATTGATTGAATAGAACACCATGAAGTTGATTGCGTTGCATTACGGTGCGATCTGGATTAATGCGGAAAGAGTTGAAGTTAGACATATGTAGTTTATGTCAATTTTTAAGCACAGAAAAAATATCAGATACTTCAAGTAACATGCTTTAACAGGGTGTAGCTTATCAGATTTGCGTCCTAATATAACGACTGCTATATATAAATATAAATAATATAAATTTTATAATTTTAACTAAGTTATTTAGTTAGTTTTAACCTTATACTTTTATAAATAATATTATTAGAATAAACCTATTATAGAATTATAGTCTGAACTTTTTTCAGAGTTGAAAACCATTCATAGGATCAGTTACATTGGTCTTGCATTGTGTGTTTTTGGAGAGATGTTGAGGAAAAATGCTATATGGACAGCAAGGGATAATTTCACTCACCTGGTTCAGCAAGAAAAAACGCAGACTCATATACTAGTCACGCATGGTGTGTACTCATGGTTCAGGCATCCAAGTTATGTAGGCTGGTTTTTCTGGAGCATAGGCACACAGGTAAAAAATTCTAAACCTTTTAGTTTAATAAGAATATACTTAAACTCAGTTTCGGCGTATATATTTAGGTTATTATGATTAATCCAGTATGTGTGTTGGCATACGCTTTAGCCAGCTGGAAATTCTTCAACGATAGAATATACTACGAGGAAATGACTTTGTTAAATTTCTTTGGAGAAGATTATATTTCATATCAGGAAAAAGTTGGTATCGGCTTACCATTTATCAAAGGATTTACTGTAACACGTGATAGTTAATAATAAACATTGTTACATGGAATTATTGTATACATAAATTAATCAAGTGCATACAAATGTATATAATATATATTTATGTTAAAAGTATAAAAATATAAAATTATACAAAAATCCATTATTAGTTTAAATTACTTCGTGTAAAACAAGCAAGATTGGTGCATTATAAAATAACATTTTTACACATAACTTATGTAAATAATAATATTTATTTTGTTTTAACATGTACTTTATTATATAATAAATATTTTATACTATTTTTTTTTAATCTGATTTTCATACAAATTTATAAAATAATTGTAAAGTAGAAACAGGAACTTATACAAATTAATAATAATATTAATAATAAAAAATATAATAAAAAAGTTGGTCCAAAAGAAAAAGTCTTATAATATACAAAATTGGCAAGTATTTTTTATCCCCCATTAATAATAATAACAATAATGTAATTTCTATGAAATATATTTCTGAAATTAAAAGTTTACCTCGAAGTTTAGTATTGCGTGAGGATAAGTATTTTGGCACATGTTATATCTATACTGATAGACTTAAACTAGAATACTCTTATTATTTATTGTGGCCATCATGTTGTTGATAATGCCACTAGCTGCCTTAACTATGTCCCAGTTAGTGTTTTCTAAAGCATTAAGGCATATATTGTGCTCAACATTAGGGTAGCCCTCAGTCTCTAAAGCCAATTCTAGTTTGGCCAATTTGATTGCATGATGTACATCCCAACCAGTAACTCTTAACTTTTCCAAACAATGTTCACCAGATACCTGTTATGAGAAAAAAATAATTATTATAATAAAATAGTCATAATTATTTTATTTTACTATTAATAACAATCTAAGTTCAAACAATAAACATTTACTTTGGGCCCGAGAACTTTGATCATTATCCGAACTTCGTCACAATCAAGATCCTTATGATGTTCCAGTTGGTTAAGAACATTATCTACTCTTCTTATTTCATTGTTTTTTTCGAACAGTTTTTGATGCTCATCGTTTTTTTCATCTCCATCTTCACTGACGTTTGGTTGAGGTCGTTGAAAGGTAATAATTTGGTGTTCGGCAATGGGAGACTCAACCGCGCCCAGTTGGTCCAGTGCATCCAGTTCCAAAGCAATGCGCTCGTCGAAACTTACTTCGTTGGAGCTAAAAACCGATTTTAAAATTTGATTTTAGTTAATTATTATTAATTTTTCATTAAACGTTTGGAAGAGTGGGGGAGATGTCGTAATAAAAATAAAATGTATTTTTCCAATCGAAATACTTCAGAATAAATAAAATAACAAAAATATGGATTCCATACTTTCAAGGGGTAATTTTACTTTAATTTCATATTTTATTATCAACATCCAAATTTTCCTATTATGTTAATCGATAACTATTTTAACCGAAAATTACGTATGAAAACATTTTCAAAGAAAAAAAAGAAATTTGTATACATTAGTAAGTTATAAAAATTAATAAGAAAACCAAAAAGGATGCAACGTAACTATATATGAAGAAAACTTGTTTTAAAATAGCATATGCTAGAGGTTTAGTTTACTTAAGCATATGCTTAAGTATGTGCTTAAATTCGTATTGAACACTCACATCGTATGCTGGAAATTATTTTTTTCCTTCGCATTGTCTTTGGGTTCTGGATCAGAAACTAAATAAAAAAATAAAAATAAATTGTGATATTAAATCGTGCGACTCAACATCATCCAAGAAAATACTTACTGCAGCAGTCAATTATTTGATCGACAAACAACTGATGTTCATTGTCGCCAACCGACGTCATCACTTGTTGACACGATGTACCCCCAGCGTTTGACATTACCAATGGGTACTTCCTCTGGTGTCTCGGTTTGGACGCCGTCAATTGTTGCACAGCCCTTGGGTCTTTTGGCGGCAAAGGTATGATGTTACAACCTGTACAGGGTTTAGGTTTTTAAATGAACGTGCATAATTAAGAAAGAAAACGCGATATGCCTCTCGACTACAAAACTCACTTGAATCGTTTTCACCATCTTCCGTTGACACACCACTGCCGACACCGCTTACAGATCTATATATCACAAAATTCCAAATAAATTAATTATAAAAAAAAACGTATTAGTGCAAGTTGAAGAAATCTGTTTAACAGACGCGTCGTATCAATTCACTCGCTGATTATTGAATGACAAGGAAAAACGCGGTTAAGTTAAAAAAATATTTAAATTGTAATTTACTTTTATAAACTATACCCAACATTCATGGATAAGATTGGGTCAGTATCCACTTTTTCCTGATTTTTAGTTGGACTAAAAGATTTTTAAATTCACCCTTGTCAAATTGAGATATAATATTTATGAGAAAAAATGGTATGATTATTATAGATTAACAATTCAAATTAAAATTTAATATGTTTACAAATTACTATTGATTAGACTTTATAATATTTAAACAATAATACCCCAGATAATATGCCGAAAAATTTTTTCGGCATATTATGAGAGTTATAATCCACCATCAATACCAAAATTATGTAATATGTAAACTGGTCCAAACGCATTTGTTCTGATACCATGCAGATATTAGCGGAAACAATACTTGCCGTAAACCGATTAATTAACTCGGTCCATTAATATTTACATATTATATTTGTTGAAATTAATAAAATCTCGATACTACTAAAGAAGCGTTAAGGATATAGTAAACCGTAAGAGTAAACTGGGGGGGGGGGGGCGAGAGAGGGCAATTGCCCTCTATAATTATTTAACGGCGCAATGCTCCCCGTGATATTTCGTAAATTAATTAGAAAAATATTATGTATAATTTTTTGAACTATTATCTATAAAATGAAAGAATGTATTAATCAAAATGTATTTGTTCAGTGACATTTGCCATCACAATTAATCATAATGCAGATTAAGTATATATAATCTTCAAGTGTACGGTAAATCAACATAAAATAAAGCTCTATAAAAATTACCCAAGTTACGCTCAAGTAATAAACGGTGGTTATATTTACCCGTTGTCGATTTTTTTTAGTCTGAATTTTGGTTTTGACACTGGGGTTGTGGTCTTTTTCATCAATCTTAACGAGTTGGTAACGCCACCGTCCATCACGACAGTCATGGGTTTTTCGATAAGACCGTTGTATGCTTGTTTGGCTTCTTCGGTTAGACTTCCCTATGTAAGGGCGAGACAAGGATATCGATAGGAAAGCAACGGGAAAACAAAGGGAAGCAACAAAAATAAAAACAAAAAAATAAAACACAAAATAAAACTAAATAACTAAAACGGTGTTAAAATAATATAATCTACTTCATAAAAAAAAAAAAACTAAAAAATTCCATAAACATTCTCACTTCACCGACTAGGATTGATTATTCCAATATAAATATATAAAAAGTAATAATTTTGAGCATTATAATAGAAATTTAAAAAAAAATGTATCTAAAGCAGAGGCGTATACAAGGGGGGATGTGGGGATCAGATCCCTCCCATAGGTCATTTAAAATAGTATAAAATAGTTCTTAATGTAAGAAAGTTATAAGGAAACAAAAAAATATTGCAAGGATTTATTGTAAATTATTATTTTGACACATTCAATATTTATATATATTTTATTATTTATTATTTAAATGTGTTGGTACTTAGGTTTAAGAATTTTCCTTCCATAATAATTTGTTTGCAACTGATCCCTCCCCCCCATACAAAAGTTATGTATACGCCACTGATCTAAATCATATAGCTTATTTAGAATTTGTGTTACCCATAAAAGCTCTTTGTATACGGTTACATGCAAGCTTTTAAATATAATTACTTTATTAACTTTTAAGCATTAAAATACATTTCAACTCAAATGAGATTCATCGATTTTATATGTGCGCACAAAAATACAAATATAAAATTATGATGAAAGTGAATACGATAATAATTATCATATTTTCGTATATTATAATTATTATAATATACTAAAAATAATATTGGCTAAATTATAATAATAATTAGATTTAATGTTAGTTTTATTTAACAGGATGATAAAAACTAATGGATTACAGTTTTACACTTTTTAACTTTCAAAAATCAAAAAAATGTATTTTACGTAGATTATTTTACATTATTTTTAATAATTCATAACAATCTAATATAATAAGTATACGGTGTGACTATTTTTATTAATTTTAATCAAATTTAACAACGCACCTTAATTCATTTTAAAACCTATTATTTTCACAGCTCCATAAATAATAAATTATATATCTCTATAAAAAGGGATATTTAAGAATCAAAGACTCGCTTGACGTGTATTTTCTAATTTTATAACTTAAAAATACATATGAATACATAAATAAATTGTATCCAATGGCACCAAACCTTTTTTATATAACTGGGATAAACCCTACTTATGGGTAACCACCCACTCTCCAAAATATCATAAAACAGTAAGTATTATATTTAGTATTTATTATCTAGTAATTACATAATATTATAGAATACGTTATCATACAATAATTACAATAATTTACCTATCACTTATTAAGTCACTCACCCACCTACCACCTAAACAATTTCTAGAGTATTTACCTCACTTGCTATACGTGTTAGGCGCTACTGACTGTATCAATTCTAAAATTCTTATTTCTCTCTTGTTATAAATCTGACTTGAGTCTTTAAGTAAAAATTAGTTATACTTTAGTATAAAAAACTATTATGTAACTGTAAAATGGAGTATTATTATAAAAAAATACTACTTTAAAGTACAAAAGCGATATAAAACTTAAAACTAATCGTTTTTTATGTAGGTACAAGGTAAATAAAAAAATGCGTATTCAAAAAATAACGCACGCAAAAGGTTTCAACTTCTAAATCGGTATTAAAATCAGTTGACCTATTAACAAATTGAAGTATTGCATCATATTTTTTTTTCATACCAATTATAATTTCAAAGAGAAACATACACAATCTAAAATATGTTATTTATTAAATAAAAATATTTTCCTAAACCGCAGTATTCTAATTTTTCGATTTTAAAATAAGTTAATCAAGTTTCCTATATGTAATTATTAAATTTGCAAATATTTCAGTCCACAGTTTTAGTCCTATTAAAAATATAAACGTTTTTAAGCTAATAGACTGAGGTAAATATCATATCAATATGTTAGAACCCTAAAAAACATTTGAATGGGAAATATTTTGAATATTCAACTATAAATATACCCGTTAAGTATAAAAAGATTACGCCGTCTGTACAATGTGTAGATGCATCCAAGAATTCGAAGATAAATATTATAAAAAAGTTGTCTGTTCAAACCACAAGCCCACGTGTGTCTTTCGTTCTAAGTTATTTCACAGAATAAAGGCGCAGTGGTGAATACTAATGCAGAAATGCAGATAAATAACTATAACCAAAATAGTATTAATGATTTACAACCGATGTCAGGATTCTAATGAATACAATTCAGAATAAAATAGAACTGCATATAAAATATTATGTACACAAAATATATACGATTATATAGAGATTCATCCAGACGTGAACAATGCAAACTAAAATTATAATATTAACTTTTAAGAAATATTAATGTGAATATTATAACTAATATATGAAATTGATATTTTGATTAATATATAAATACGAATTACGGTAACATTTGGTACTGAAAAACTAATTTGAGTCAAATGATTGTTTTTAACGTGTTTTAATAAATTAAAATAAATTAAAAACAAATTAAATTTAAAAAAAATGTTTAGAATTTAATCAAAAATCGGGAGCTTATAGTTTCATGTTATTTTTTGCATGGCACCTACTTCCCACGCTTAGGTCTAACACTGTTTACTTAACTACAACAATACCACTACAACTGTATACTAATATTAATTAATTAATGCTACAACTATAACTACTACTAATTACAATTCAGCAGGCTCATCATCAATCAAACGGACATTAGTAGGAACTTTATTTAGGACATCAGTGGAAACATGAAACACACTATTCTCAGAATCAGACCAACTCCGTCTTAATTTGTCACATTTTTTACTGTTGGGAAGTGTGTTTGCTCGGAATACATCAGACAACTTGGACCCAAGTTTAGGTGAACTAGGACATGAGTACTGTTCACCTACTAAAGTTTCTGTTGAATCTACATTGGAATGTTCAATAGTCCTCAAAGAGTTACAAGATATGTAATCAAGTGAACCTATACTAGGTGAAGCTTTGGTCAGTAATTCTCTGGAGCGAGCAAAATAGAATTCTGTAGATGCCTTATCCCATAAGGGCAGACGGAATGGTGCACTGTCTAATAAGGATTCTGCACTGATAAATGATGAAAATGAATGTAAGCTACTACAAGACTACAAGCAAGTATTAAATAAATGCATCAGAAGGAATAGAGAGGGTGTATAGATTTTAAATTAGTATTGTAACCATAGTTAAGAGCATAACATTTCAATTGTTTACTTGTATGTCTGGAATAGAAGCTGCTTCATCAGTGAATGTCTTCACATCATGCTTTTGTGCTTTTGAAAGAGAACCAATGGGTGGAGGAAACTTAAATGTAAACTTGCGTTTATTTGGAGACGATGGAGATTCAGGTACTTGATGATGGTGTGGTTGCTCTATATCAGAACCCATAGAGCGATTGGCTAACTCATTGGCCATTGCAATAGCAGAATCAAGACTTTTCTCATCAGATGCAGATATCGGTTTAACCTATAATTATTAACGCAATTTATAAACTCAATACTTAATATAAGATGATAACTACATAATTATTAATTGTTATATATAAATATACTCAGGAAAATAAAATAAAAATAAAAATAAATAAATAAATATTCTATGAGGTCTTTTCCTGAATGCTATATTTAAATAAAAATAACTGTTTAATTTTGTATAGCATTAAAGGACAAATCTATCAATAATAAAAAAAAAAATATTTTAATTTACCGTAGCTTGTTTCTTTTTTGTTTTTGAATTTACAGCTGCTGCTGCAGCAATATTAGCTGCAATTTCTCGTAGTTCATTCCTGTGGTTTGTGTCCAAAGGATCCAGTGGAGACCTAGGTGGAGACACAGCATAGTTACTAACTCCATTTGTACTTATAGTTCTAAACATAGTTTCCATTTCTTCAACAAGACTTGGTCCAAAATCAAACGTTTTCTAAAATATAAAATAACATATTAAGCAATAGTTAAAAGGTATTGGCTGATACTAATTTTGAACTTTTAAACTAAATCATTCAAGTATTTAGTATTTATAGTACTGATTTCATTAAAACTTCAATTGAATTCATAAATAAAAAAAAGATTACTTAATTACTAGAAATAAAATTTAAAATATTCGATAAATTCAAAACTTACTTCAAATCTAGGACTTTCTGCGACAATATCTTCGTCACTTATTTCATGGTACTCGTGGTCATTTAAAATTTTTGACAATTTACTTTTATCCAACCAAGTTGTCAAATCTACTAAAGGATAACAATAAATATACCAAATAAAAATATAAATATTAACAATAATAAATTAATGTAATACCAATTTTTTTTGCTTTCAGATTTATCACCATTAAGTAATGGAGCCCGATCTGAACAAGCTTTTATAGAAGTTGGTGAATCACTTACACTAGCACAGTCTTCATGTGGTTTATATGGAGCTACTACTTGATGTGGTAAATGATTATACTAGATATTAAATAATACATAATAAACTTAAAATATATAATCTTAAAAGAAAAATAGAAAACTAAATACAATAAAATTGGTCAGTATTAACTTAAAGCCTTTATTATTTATTACCTTAGGTGCATTTGAACTCATGAATTCAATATCACCAAAGTATGCACCATCTAGACCTACATGTCCCATATGTTTAACATCACCTTGAGGACAAGATATCATGTCTATCCTTAGACGACTACGTCGGGAAGAATACTTTGAATCTGTAATATAACAAAAAATGTGAATATTTATGACTAACTACATTTACTTGGCACTTGATATTAACCATTTCGACTAAATTCGGAATTTCTGTTGGATGGTAAATTCAGACCCAAATAAGCAACGGTGTTAGAAGGATTAAACAAACCAGTTTTTCCATTGGATAATACACCTTTCCATAAGGTAGGAATACCAGGACTAAATAAGACCAAACAAAAAAACTCTAACTTATTATTCTTTTAAATTTAAAATTTAATATAGTATATTTACGTTTTATCGAGTACTGTTATAACATCTCCAATCGTGTACTGGAGCATGTCCCTTTTTTTTTCTTCAACATTTATCACAGCTAACACTTGTTCAGGTTTACACTAAATAAATATATGCATTTAATCTAATTAATGTTGGATTTGAATAACATTGAATTATAAATTATACATACATCCAATAACATTAACACTAAGTCAGCAAATCGAGGACGTTTAGAAGGATCATGTTGCCAACATTTAGTCATGACATCAAAATATTCTATTGGACAACAATCAGGCTGTTCTAATCTCTATATAACAGACACTTATAGCATTAAAATTAACTTAATTTAAAGATTAATAAACTGATTTACTTGAAAATTAGGTTCATCTATAGCTTCAAGTATTTGTTGTCCTGTAAGTGCAGCCCATGGCTGGAACCCATAACTGAACATTTCCCACAAAGTAACACCATATGCCCAAACATCAGAAGCTGAAGTAAAACGTAGATAACTTATACACTCAGGTGCACACCTAAATCAAAAATCATACTAATGAGTTAATACAAATATAAAAACTTTAAGAAAAACTACATTACCAAGCAATGGGTAATTTAAGGTTTACATTGAAGTTAGTTTGATAGTAGTCTTTACCAACACCAAGTGCTCGTGATAATCCAAAATCTGAAATTTTTACCTTGTTTTTTGTAAATACTAATATGTTTCTAGCAGCCAAGTCTCTAAAAAATGAAATAAAAAGCATTTAAGTAAATTAATGTTATTATTAAATTGTTAACCAAAAATACCTATGTATAAATCTTTGAGTTTCTAAATAATGCATTCCATTGCATATTTGTATGGCGAAATCACATAATGACATCACTGGAAAACTTGCACGAAGTGAAGGTTCTTTTAAACACTCTAAAAGAGATCTCAGCGGGGCTAACTCAGTGACCTTATGTGTAAATAACACAATTTTAATACTAATAAGAATCAAAAATAATTTTTCCTTACAAGCATCAATGCAACCGTATCCAACACTACTCCGTACAATCGCACAATATGTTCATTATCGATACTATGCATAATGGCAGCTTCTTTCAGAAACTCTACAGGATTATTTTGCATGCGTTCTTGACTCAAACATTTTATGGCTACTTGAATCTAAAATAAAGTCATCAAATTAGCGTTTATGGAACAAATTTAATGACATTTGCATTAACTAACTCTGTCTCCTTCATTGGTCCAAACACCTTGTTGAACTACACCAAATTCTCCAACACCTAGCTCCTTATTAATAGTTATAGAATCAGCAGGAATTATATGTTTGTTAGGAACACGAGCGGGTGGTCTTTTTTCATAAATTGGCTTCAATGTGTCTTGTGAACCAGAGCTCTCACTCCAATGATCTTTATTATCTTTTGATGAAATTAACTAACAAATAAAGCATTTTTATAAGAAATTGTGGTATATACAAGAAACTGTTAAACTTACTTTTTTGAACTTGGAGAAGTAATTTTGAGGATAATACTTTTGGAAATATTTTTTTAATCGTCGAATTTCTGGCTTAGTCATACCTATTTGGTACAGGTCATCCTCAGTTACAAATTTTACATGGGGCACAGTCATCACCTTAGCAATGTAATATATAAATTATATAAATTTGTAAATAATTAATAATAATTAATAATAATTTGTAATTTGTAAATTATTAATTTGTAATATATAAATTATATTAAAAATAAATTTTGCCTTTAGGATATGATGAATTCTACAGTATCACTGTTAAATAATATGACTAGACTAACCTTCAAATCATTCTTGAGTTCAGAATAGTACTGTTGGAGCTCTGCTTCTAACAAAAACTCATACAGATCAATGACTTTGGACATTATATTTTTTACCAATACAACATTCGCCACAAAACCTGCAATATGAATTGAAACACAAAATGAACAATTGGTGAGATTAATTGGTGAAATTAATAAATAATTCTTTAATACACACTAATGATTAGGTTGAATTGAAGGATAAACATCAATGTGAAATCTTAAAGAATTCATAGGGACTTTACATAGTGCTTGTCCGGGAAGGAAAGGATCGTCCTTTTCAGTACACCTCAAGTTAATTTTTTAAATGAGACCCATTGAACGGTATAGTCAGTAATCGCTAATTTTCAATAATATATTTCCGTTCTATATTTAATTGTTTTCTATGTCAGCACTGACCACTGAATCCTACCCTAACCATACCTGGGGCGGAGTGCGTGCGGCCACACATTCCAAAGGGGACAAGGGAAAGTGAAGTTTCGGCCACAGGCTGGGTGAGGATGGTCGGAGCGAGGGTGAACACAAGCACGTGCCTAGAATAACGACGGCCAATAGCGTGCATACTTCGGGGTGCCGCCTTCAGCAGTGCTTGACTTGAGGAGGGACGCAGGAGGACGGAGTATCCAAACTGATTTTTAGAAATTTTAGCGTCTCCCTACAATTATTACGTTTAATAAGCTTTGAGGACACTATTTTCTTTAAAGTAAACAGAGTCTCCCTTCCTTAATTTTGCCAAGTCAATCACTGGTCTTCGGAACAACACTTACTGTTGTTGACGACGACGACCGCTTTACGGTGGCCGACGGCTACAGGATGTCGGTCGTCCCGCGTTCGTTCGCGACAGGCAGCTGGCGGACGTTGACCGGCTTCACGCGAGACGTGAGACGTGCATCGGCCGCGAACCCAATTCAAGTAGCGATTTTATTTTTAAAAATATATAGATAACTATAGATTTTATTCCCCGTCGCGAACAGTTTTAAATTAAATCGAGAAAACACGCCGACGCATCGTTCGTTGCAACTGGTCTATTTGATTTGTTATGTTTTATTGTTTTATCTCGAACTGCGGACGACGTTCCCTACCCGGTCCAAATCTGCGTTACGACTGGACAGTGAACTACGGGGCCTCAAAAAATCAAAAAATACCGCTATAAACTACCGGACAACTAGGAACTACTGGCTACGACGAAATGTGTAGCTACACTAATGCAATTGAAATATCTATTATAAAATTACTAGTGGTAAAAATATTATAAAAAAAAAAAAAAAAAAACAAAGCTTATCAGAAGTATTGCCAACGTCGCAGTTTATCCACAAAATCTATATATCGTTTACTGATAACACGTGTACGCATCACGTCAAATTTGATGTAATCTGCAGTGGTCACGTAACATTACATGAATAATTACGGTTTTAAAAATAAATATAATCGACCCGTGTACGCTATTAAATGTCATACGAACAATCTATGTCCGTCGACATACATTGATCAGAATTTATTTATCATAAACGTTTTTCGTTTTTTTTTTTTTTATATCTAAAAATTAGTGATTCGTAAGAAAGAAAATATGCTTATATTTATATAAAAAAAAAAAAAACGTAACATTACAACGCTTTTATCGTTTTTAAATCTCACAAATATCTAATCCGAAGCAAAGGTTTGTCCAGGATCAAAATGTAGGACAGGCCCAGTAATAATTATTTTGATTTATATAGATTCACATTAATAATTTTTTGTAAATTTTTCATAACATTTTTAAATTTAATTAGTAGAAATGATCGTATACTGTAACATAATTCCTCCTGTTTTTTAAATTTTTAATAATATTTAAAAAAAAAGTTTAAAAAAAATTAACAATGATCTAAAAAATATTAAGAATAACTATTTGAAAACGGAATAGGCCTGGGTCTACCCATTGGACATGCTACTGATTCGAAGGTGGTTAGCGTTTGATTTTGGGCATTAAGATCCAGACGATCATTTGTTGAGAATATGTATAACTACGTCAATATCCAACAAATGGAATAATATTTGTTTTTTATAATTTTATTGTAAATGTCCTCTGTCCAATAGGAATAGTCCATGACAAATGAAAACTACCTTGAAGGAGACTGACTTTGATAGGTTGTGGGTACACGTGATTTGAGTGAAGAAATAAATTTTGTTTTTGTTTTACGAAAAATATAATACGCGGAACAGAATAGAGTTAGAGATAAACGGACAGATTTTAAACGTAAAATTATAATATGGTTGGAATTGTTAAGGTACTACAAATATCGAAGGATACCGCGTTGTTAGTTAGTTTTGAAGATTGTTGAAAATGTTTTAAATGTTTCTACATAATGAAAAAAGATTACGGCGAAATCCGAAAAAGCCATGTGCAAGGATATCGGAGTTATATTCCACTTACCAATCGAGTCTATTTTTAAGCATGAATTCGAAGTTTTACGTATGGATGATGGTATAGCGGTTGGACGAAAGAATAGGGTACCTATTATGTTGAAGTGTTGGTATTTGGTATACTCATTAATAGTAGCTGCTCGCAATAAATATTCTGGGGATACTTAAATTATTTAACATATACTTCATACCATAACGAACAATAAAAACACTTTTACTGGAAAATTAACTATACCTAATACTTAATTTAATATTTAGTTAATATTTTTAACTTAATTTAACTGTGCATTTTTTTATAAGCTAATTCAATTCTACAATTTTTTTATCTGGGAATTCGCAGATGACGGTGTATAGCGATGGCACGAAAATTATTGTCGTGAACCCAGTTTCAATAGCGTCTATAATACGCGGATTATTCACCCCGATCCCTTCCGTCCAACAAGCCAAACCATTACACGTTAAAATTGAACCTATTGGACGTCAGTTCGACCGTCGTCGAAATTACTAAAATAGTGTTTCTATCAAAACAACTAACTATAGGTTTTATCATTGATTATGAACACTAGTATTTATAATCAATGGTTTTATATTTTGTAGCCATAAATTAATAATTATAAATATAAAAAACGCTATAACAAATTTTCAAAAAAAATAAACATATTTCCATACATTTTTAAATACTAATTATTTACAAGTAACTGTTTTTTATTTTTTTTTAATAGGAAACACAGTCTCAAAATCTCCCCTGATGAGCTGCTCTTTCTCATTAATTATTTATACTATTTATAATCAAGATATAATGTTATATTCGTTCCTCGAATTGGGAACAATTAACAAGTTTTGCTTGGAAAGCAAGGTACCACCGGGAGGACGACTCGTGTAAAGAGTGTTGACTTATAATATTAGTAAACGCAATTCGTCAGTATAAAAAAAAAATGTTCACTACGTATGCAAAAATAAAAATTAGATAGTCAACACCACTATTAATGCTAAAATGCAGGAAAAAATTGTATTCCGCCGATTGGCAGTTTCTATATACGAATCGACATAATATTATGAATTATGATTACAATGGCAAAAAATAAAAAATTAACATTTAATCATTGGGATAGAAAAAATGGACATTCCACTTGCTATCAATTTATTTATTTTGGTCATTGTATTTCTAGATTTTATTGAAGGACTTTGAAGACCGAGGCAAGAATTTAACCAGTTCCTTAAAAATAACTATTGTTCGCACATCACTTGTTATTTGTTTTCATTTTATATTCTTTTATTAATATTTTATTTTTATGTAACATTTATTTAAACTATACAGTGTCTGCTTAAATATCACCTTTTTTATAGATATTATGGACATTATTAGTGAAAAACTAACAGCTACAGTAAAATATGTACAATAAAGTCGATAATAATTATCTAATATAATACAAATAATAATAAATCTTTCATAAATGTGTAAATGTTAAGTTAAAAAAATAAGCAAAATCGATTAGACATAATACAAATATCAAGTATCCACGCACTAATACGGTATAAATAACTAAAAAAATAAACAATATGCATAAATTATCGATCATTAGTCATTCTTTACCTTTCAGTGATGACGATGTAAACGCAATGCTATAGCTGATTTCAAATTGGTATACCTACTGGAAATTGCTACTACTTAATATCCTCGTTTTTTTTATAAAATTTAGTGTCCACTGCAAATGTCATGTTTAACTAATACTTTAGACAGCTTCCTGCAATTATTTCATGTATATAAAAATAACCATAGTATAATTTATATTACATATTTAAATAATTACAATTTTACATCAATTCAACTATCTAATATAATACATGACTTGATTTACAGCATAAATAAATAATTCTTTTTACATCCCTCACATTCCTTTAAATTATCTCTCGGTTATTCTCCTTTTTATACTACTTGCATTTAAATGACCATAATTGGTTGAGATTTGGAAAACTATATTTACCAACATTGTGCAAACATGATGTATTTTTTTTTTTTATCATATTTCCATATTATTGTGATGAGGGGGGGACGAATTAATTTTCCCCAGGCCCTAAAAATCCTTAGAACGGCTTTTTACTGTACAATATTAACACATATATAAGTATATTATGATTCATACGCTGCCGAATCTAACGGAATAATTATTATTTTATTAGCTTATTTTGATAAGTATAATCAATAGTATAATATATAAATAATACATCTACTAAGTATAATATACTATCATCCTATGTAATAATCGCAAAATATTGAACAGGTATATAGAAATATGGAAAGATATAGAATACAATATAATAACGACGATATAATAATAAATATAACAATAATATTTATATAAATATAGGTAAATATATGTTGAGCAAAGTCGTAAACATATACCTACATATTATGGCAACATTATATTACACTATTGCGTTTTACGAAGTAAAAAACGCACGCAGCGTTGTACATAAACATAAGCGTAATAAATATATAGGTCTTATATGTTACTATCAAAAGTGAACGATAAAAAAAAAACTGTTGACTGAAACCTCAAATCTATTATAATTGTGAATCGGTACGTATTCTATAATGCAGTGTTAAATTTAATTTACTCGGACAAAGAATTCGATAAAATTAAAATATTTGATTTGCCCATGGTACGCTATTGGGTTATTGTTAGACATGCATAACACGTGTTTTACTTACACACATTTATAGTATGACTCACATATTCATTAAAATATTCAATCATACTCATAATATGTAATGATTATGTATTACATAATTATTATAGTTTATTCGATTAATATATATGTAATAATTAATAAGTATATCTATACTAATCAAGTTTATGAATGGGTGACCATTATGGGTCTGTGGCTATGTGTTTATATTCATATGAGTAGTCTTATAAAGACACCAAGTACAATTAAAACATTAATCTAATGATTAGATTAAATTTGAATTCACAATTAATTTTCGTTTAAAATAATAATGTTTGATAATACTTCTATGATATAATAAATAATTGATAACTCTCATACTATTTTTTGTTATTTTAATTTATTGTCAATAATTCAGTTAAATCTTTCAGCTTCATTATAAATTACCATTGTTTAAAATAATTGCTCGACAAATAGATGAATTATTTAACGCATAAAATTTATTTTTTTTAGTTCTATATGATTTAAAAACATTTTATCTTTTATTTATAAAATTTGAGGTCAATATTACGCAACATTTTTGCAATCTAATTCAATTTTTACTTTATTTTGTCAACATCATTTTTTTAAAAAAATATCAAATATTTTAATTTTTATAATAAGAAGAAAATATTGATGAATAAAAATTTAATATCGATTAGTATATTACAATATTAACCAATATTATAATTATTTAAAATTAAGATGAACATATTAGAATAACACATCAAATACCATTTCACTATTCCGTTCGTTTTATTTTAAGCATTATAAATAATAATGAATATTATTATTCAATATTCGATTTTTCTACATTAACATTTTCAGAAAAATATTTTATTTCACAATATGAAATTTAAAAATGTCGTTAAAATAAAATTAAACCTTAAAAATAATTTTTACAAAATATAGTAGTGTGAGAGGAATATATGCCACCGTCTGTACATAAAGTGTATTACTAATATAAAAGCTGACAGTATGATATGATACTAACTTGTAACGAATTGTTACAGATTATAAGTAAAACTTAAAAGTAATTTAGTAACAAGTAATACAATCGCACTTTTCAAGTAAATAATTTAACTTATAAATAAAAGTGATATATGTTATTGCACACGATAACATGAGCCAA